TACATGACATGGCATGCCATAACAGTGCAAAACATAGCATGCCAAACCATGCCATACATGCATGGTTGCATGCGTACGCATATACATATATATATATATACATAGATGTAAATGTGTATACGTGCATGCATATATACATACATGCATAAGTGCATGTCGGTGTAATTACATACATACATGCATGCACATATACATACGTTGCAAACATACATGCGTGCATACATGCATGCATGTATGCATGCATACAGGCATACATACATACCGACATACATACATACATACGTACAAGTCGACCTCAGGAGCCCCCCCCCGCTCTTCTGAGAAGCGCTCAAGGAAGTCATGGAGGGCCCAAGCCGGCCCCTGACAGCCCCCAACACTGCACACGATGACCACACAACGGGCCAAGAGGCCCCCACGATGAATGCTGCAGAAGCGCTCAAGTCGGACACTAGCTGCGAGCGCTCCACTTACAGTCGGGGCTGACTGGAGAGGAGGGCACGCGAGAGGACACAAGACCCTTCCGAGGGCCATACTGCCATAGGAATGTAGAAGGCATGGGCCGCGAAACACAGGGCACCAGGGAGTCATTGATTTGGCAGGGTCGACCAAATCGTCAACCTCGAGTGTATGCCCCACAGGCGCTCATGATCCATCTCCCCCTCCTCCTTCTCATATTATGCTTCGTCTGTCTTCTTACGATTACGATTATTATTTGTATCATCAGTATTGGTATAAGTATCTTCATGCTACGAGGCATGAGATTATTCGTACTATTTCAAAAAAATAACTATCATTCGTATTACTAGCAGTTTGAGTAGCAGCTTTGCTCTTGGTTGTATGAAAATTCCTCGTAAAGATATTATCAGTACTATCATTCCTCTTCAGTTTCCTCTTCCTCTTCCTCCTCCTCCTCATCCTCCAACTCCTAATCCTCCTCCTCACTCCTCACTCCTCATCAATTATTCATCACTCATATCTCCTCCGACGCCTCCTCCTCTTTCACTGCTCAACCTCCTCATCCTCCTCATCCGCCTCCAATTCACTTTTCAGTCATCTTCCTGTTCCTCCTCCTCCTCCTCGTCCCCCTCCTCCACCTCCTCCTCCTCCTCCTCTTCCTCCTCCTCCGCCTCCTCCTGGTCCTCCTACTCCTCCTCCTCCTCCTCCTCCTCCTCCTCCTCCTCCTCCTCCTCCTCCTCCTCCTCCTCCTCCCTCCCCTCCTCAATACCAACACCATCATCAGCATCATCAGCATCGTCATCAGCAGCATCAGCATCTTCATCATCAGCATCATCAGCATCATCATAAACAGCATCAGCATCATCACCATCATCACAGTAATCATCGTCATCAGCATCAGCATCAGCATCGGCATCAGCATCAGCAGCATCATCAGCAGCATCAGCATCAGCATCAGCATCAGCATCAGCATCAGCATCATCATCATCATCATCATCATCATCATCATCAGCATCATCATCATCATCATCGTCATCATCATCATCATCATCATCATCATCATCATCATCATCATCATCATCACCACCATCATCATCATCATCATCATCATCATCATCATCATCATCATCATCATACAGCATCATCATACAGCATAGTCATCATGAGCAGCACCATCAGCATCATCAGCAGCAGGTTCAGCATCGTCATCATCATCAGTAGCAGCCGCAGCATCATCATCAGAATCGTGATCATCATCAGTATCATCATCAGCATCCGCATCATCATTATCATACTCGTCATCGCCATCGCCATCGTCAGCATCACCACCCGCGACAGCAGCAGCATAAACAGCAGCATGGACATGATCATGAGCTCTACCACGATCACCACCATCATCATGAAAATGAACATCGTCATCACCACCACCATCACCATCATCGTCATCAGCATCAGCATCATATACAACGTACTCATCTCCATCGAGATCTGCATCACCATCGTCAGCATCATCAGCATCATCAGCATCAGCAGCATCGACATCATCATCATCATCATCATCATCATCATCATCATCATCATCATCATCATCCTCATCATCATCATCATCATCATCATCATCATCAGCATCAGCATCATCATCAATCATCATCATCATCATCTCATCATCATCATCATCATCATCATCATCATCATCATCATCATCATCATCATCATCATCATCATCATCATCATCATCATCCACATCATCCTCATCACCATCAGCAACGTCAGCATTATCTGCGTCATCAACATCAGCATCGTCACCACAACCATCGACATCGTCATCATCATCATCATCATCATCATCATCATCATCAGCATCGTCATCAGCAGCATCCTCCTCATCAGCACCGTCATCATCATCAGCAGCAGCATCATCAGCATCATCGTCATCATCATCATCATCAGCATCATCAACAACATCAACATCGTCATCATCATCATCATCATCATCATCAGCATCATCATCATCATCATCATCATCATCATCATCATCATCATCATCATCATCATCATCCGCATCATGATCAGCATCATCAGCAGCATCAGCTTCATCGTCCTCATCATCATCAGCATCATCATAAGTATCATCATCATCATCATCATCATCATCATCATCATCATCATCATCATCCTCATCGCCATCATGATCATCATCAACATCAGCATCGTCATCGTCATCATCAGCATCATCGTCATTATCATGAGCAGCATCATCATCATCATCATCATCAGCAGCAGCAGCATCATCAACAACAGCACCATCATCATAATCATCATCGGCAGCATCATCATCATACAGCGTCATCATTGTGATCGTCGTCGCCATTGTCATCGTCATCGTCCGGGTCATGAGCAGCATCATTAGCATCAGCATAATCAGCATCATCAGCATCATTGTCATCATCATCATCGTCAGCATCAGCATCAGCATCATCATCATCAACAGCAAGATGATTGTCGTCATCAAGCCTACCACCATCATAGTCATCATTAGTATCCTCATCATCACCATCATCAGTATCAGCATCAGAAGAATCATCATGGTCATCATCGTCAGCAGCAGCAGCATCATCAACCTCGTCATCATAATTATCAGCATCAGCATCAGCACCAGCATCGCCATCATCAGCATCATCATCACCATCAGCAGCAGCAGCGGCGTCACAATCATCATCATCAGCAGCATCAGAATCATCATCATCCTCATCATCGTCGTCATGATCCTCCTCCTTCTTCTAATCAGCATCAGCATCATCAGCATCATCATCATCATCGTCATCATCATCATCACCAAACACATCATCATCGTCCGTCCGTCCGTCCGTCCGCCCATCTATCCATCAATGCATCCATCCATCCATCCATCCACCACTACCACCATCACCACCACCCCCACCACGTTGCCCCTGGTGGCTTTCGGGCCAGAACTTGGCTCGCCGGGAACCCGCGCCCCCTCGCCGAGGCGCAGCTGCTGACGAGCATCCCGCGGCTGGAAAACCCGCCCACTGAGAACCACCGAAAACGTGCGAAGACCTCCGACGACGACGGCGACGACGACGACACAGAACGACGGCCACGGCAAGGACCTCGAGCGCGACCACCGCGGCGACCACGGCGGCGGCGGCAACGAAGGGGCGCGTCGTGGCCTCCCCCAGGCGGGCGACGGGCGCGCCCGATCTCGCCAGCCCCTCGAGCCGCCACTCGCGGGCCTGGGGGCCACAGGAAGGAGGGGCAGGAAGAAGGGGAGTACAGTCGGGGCGTTGACCTAAGGAACCCTAAACAAGGAACGAGGCCCCTTTTTCCCATGAGTTCAACCTCGACTTCCCATGGGAAACCTCAGGAAAACCCGAGGCAAACTTTGAAACCAACAAGGAACACCGAGCCCCTCCCCAACGAAAAGGGTTCCTTCTTCAGCGCCCCGACTGTAGGGAGTACGAACTGGCCTGCCTCCGAGGAGGCAGTGAGGGGAAACCCACGTTCCACCACCACTGCTGCGGCGAGGGCATGGAAAGCGTGACCATTGGATCAGGAACCCGGGGTCTGGAGGCCTGGAAATGAGCACCAACACCAACACAGGAGGTTGCCTTCACAGGGGGAAGATGATCCTCGATTCGGGTGTTGGTGGTAATAGTTCGGCCACCTTGGAAGCCAAAATATTACCACCATCACCGAGATCGGGATCTTCTTCCCTCGGTGGAAGCACACCGCTGATATTGGTGTTGGTGTCAACCTCTAGGCCTGCGAAACTGGCCTGCCTCCGAGGAAGCAGTGAGGGGAAGCCCACGTTCCACCACCACTGCTGCGGCGAGGGCATGGAAAGCGTGACTCTTGGATCGGGAACCCGGGGTCTGGAGGCCCGTGGAACGCCAACCGTGGACTGGGCATGGATAGCACCGGCGCCCTCACGAGGCAAGGAATCCTCCAGGGCCTGAGGCCTCCTGGGCACAATCCTTAACCAACGCCCCCACCGCATCGTCAAGCCGAGGGGCGGCTCACCCATGGCAGTGGCCTGCTCGTGTCGAGCGCCGGCCGCGCCCAGCAGAGCACCACTGCAGGTCAGTCGCCCACGGTCGGCAGCAGCGGCAGCGGAAGAGGAACCCAGGCCCCGCTCCACCCCCGGAGGAGGAGGATTAGCACGGACTGACAGTTGGGTGCAAGAATGGGTTCCCCATTCGCCGGACCCTCGGGGTAGGGCTGAGCGAACAGGGGGGGCCCAAATCAAGACCCAAAACTGGGGAGGGTACGGATCCACGGACCTGACAAAGCCAGCAAAGGCGCAGGGGCCGAACACACAATCTCCTGCAGGCAGAAATCCTACTGGTCCGACTGGTGGTCCTCCTTACCCTCCCTCCTCACCCCGCAGCCCTTCTTAGCGATCCCCGGATCTGGGCTCCTAGGGGGTGGCATCCCGAAGGGAAGTGAACTTGCGGGGGCAGAGGTCCACTAAGACACGGGGGCCAGGCACGAATAGACAGGGATGCGGTCGCGCAGCTCAAGAAGTGCTTCGGACTCCCGATTGTCAGCGGGGGGGTCGGGGTGTGCATGGCCCAGTGGCGCCCCTGAATGACAGCCAGGGCCCCCTCGATTAGGGCGGGGGGCCTGGATGCCACCACCACTGAATTGGGTGCTCTTGAGGGGCGAACGCCCCGGCATCAGCATGCAACGCACGAGGGGACAAGGTCCCAGCATGCATTAGGCAACAGGCAACGCATGAGGGCTTATGATGGCCAACGACGCTATCCCACTAAGTGGGATTGTGGGTGGCGCAAAGCTGAAACGGACAATGGGGGAACCGACAGGGGGTCCTCATAAGCACTGGGCTTTTCAGGCTCTCCGGCAGATCGGCGAGCATTACGCGTTTTTTAAACACACTTTTCTACTACCCCTGTAAGGTCCGGGGCAATATAATGCAGGTTTTTCAAAAGGGGTATATTCCTGCACTATGCTAGACTACTGCAGATGCTATTTTTCCTTACCCCATGGGCGGCGCCAGGCATGAACAGCGCCCTCTGGGCTGTCAGGGATACTACACAAAACTGAGGTTGCGACGGCAAGTCCGCGACAACCCTGATTAGAATAGACTCGAGAGCGACAATAGCTCGTCAAGCACCCGGGCCTCTCCTTTGGAAGGGTCTGGATGCTTCCGCTGGAACATCCTGGTCCAATTGCTCCTGTTGTGATCGCTCGTGTACCTACCTTTGCAGTTGCGCGAAAGCCCAACCGATTTCCGACCTTGGCAGATGGACCCGCAAGAGCTGCAGACAAAAATAAGATTATCGTCGCCGTGGCAGGCTATGCATACTCTATGATTGCGCGGTTCTGCTGCTATGGCGCTGAATGCAGCATTATATCCTACGCACCTCGCTGACTGTGAAGGCGACACTGACCAGCTTCTCCTGTAGCACACTCGGCAGGACCATAGACCTGGCCTCACAAATTTCCACTGGTGGGCCCTCGCGCGGCCCTCTATCTCAGGGGCCGGCGCCTGCGTGACGGAGGACGCCGGCCGCAGCACGCCTCCTGATGTGGCTCCTGCGGCCACCAACGGCGGGGGTGGCGGTAGCAGGGGGCCCGCACGCGCCCCTCGTGCCTGCAGCCTAGCCCCTGGGGCTGCCACAGCGGCTGGGGCTTCTGCGGGCGGCACCGGCAGGGCGTCCCTGGCCGACCTTGCGCCCGACCTGAAGTCCGCCTCGCGCCGTGTTTTCTGAAATACAGAGCGATGCTGCTTGGTGGGCGCCTGCCGCGGGTATAACAGGAGCGCCTGGGAAATGTACTTGAGGTACCTACGCAACGTGACCGAATCAGCTTGATAATCCTGTTTCTCAGCCTGGGATGGTTGTGCCAGTAGTGCGGCACCACGCTTGGCGAATCTGTCAGCATAGTCGTTGCCCTTAGCCAAGAACCACTCCCTCGAAAACAATTCGAGGCCGTCTGGATCCACGTGGGCCGCAACCTTGTGAATGGAGAGGCCACGCGTCCATGTGGGCGAACTCCTTATCTGAACGCGCATGCCCGCGTAGATGTGGTGTCTTGACACCACCTGGGACCACGGGGCTTCCCCGAGTTCGACGACGCCGAGGAAGTCCGAGTGGATCCTCGTGGCTCTAGGACAATGTTTTGTGGCAGCCAAAACTGCCACGTGTTCGGCCGCTGGCGACGTCTGCGGGTACTGTTCGCCCACCGAGCCCCACAGCGCTGCGAAGAGCTCCCCTGTGGCCGTCAGCTTGATGACTGACCACCCCGCAACGTGGAACTCCGGCGGCCCTTCCTTGAGGCAGGAGCCATCCGTGAACAACTCCCCCTCCAGGGCATCGGCGGGCTCCAAGTCCGTGTTCGAACACCAGTATTGGTAGGGGCGCGTGCCCGGCCCAGGCGGGGGGTTGACCGAGTACCCGGTGTGCTCCTGGAAGCCGCAGGCCAGCGGGAAATTCCGGCGGGTGTCGCTCAAGATAACCACGTTCTCCGGCCCCAACCATTGCTTACGCAAATCCTCCGTCAGTGGGCAATGGTGGATGCGGTGGGACAAGCTGTCCGAAGGATGCCCGCACCTGCACCGGGCATCGGTCAAGTAGCCTGCCCTCTGGAGTTTCTCGCCCGTCCAAATGGATTGGCACAAGAAGGACATGAGTATGCCAGCTTCCTGGCACTGCAAACCTCCTCTGTGAAGCACTTGTTGCGCAACCGTCAGGTCCACGCGTGCCCCCTGGGCTAAGCCGAGCTTAGCTGCCACCGTCGCGAGGTGGGCCCTCTGCCACGTCTCCCGCATCTTCAGTTCTATGAACTTTGGGGAGAAGGCTGTGAGAGGCCAGTGCCTCCCCGACTCGTCCTGGAAGATGAGGGGCGTGTGGAAAGACCATTTGATGCGTTTCAGGGACAGCACGGCTGCGGCTAGCGGACCTTTCACGCTGCCCCAATGCTTCGGCGGGGCTCGAAGGATCGGCTCGGCGAGCCGCACCAACCGAGGGAGGCTGAGGCTGTTGGATGGGGTCCTCACCGTGTGCGCGCGCCACACAATCTTGGTCCACGTCAGCGCGGGCGCCAGGCCTTGGCGCCAGGTAGGGTCGTCATGAAGCGCCAGGGAGATTGACCTTGAACGGGCGTCCCCGCGAGAGCCAACCATGGAAAGGTAGGTCGACTGGAGGTCCTGCAGCTCTGTCGTGTCTAAGCCCACAACGTCGACCCCGTATGTCCCATACGAATCAAGACCTGTCGTAAACACCTTGCGCATGGCTGTGCCTGCTCGCCGGATGGCTGCCAATCGCCTTTTCCTCTTCGCTAGCTTGTTCATCCTCTGCTTGAGCACTGGGCGGCTTGCTTTCCGGCACCGTAGGTTGCCCACGAAGTAGTCGATGCCCAGGTTTCTACCTGAAGGGGCCACCGTGCCGGCACGAGTACCAAGGGCCCTACCCAACCGACCGCGCAGGGAAGTTGAATTAGCTAGAGTAACCGACTTCTTCACTGCAACCGAGCACCCCAACTCGTCCTCTATGACGCGGTTCAGCGACACGGCCCCCTCCACGAGGGCTCTGATAACCTGGTCCTCGCTGCTGTCCGTCTTACCGACATGGAGGTCGTCAATGAACAGCGATAGCGGGAGATGTAGGTGTTGCGCTTGCCAATGGTCGAAGGGCTCTAGCGTGTAGACCTGCACGTAGTAAGTTGCAAAACCATCTCCCGCCGCTATCCCTCTCCCGGGGCAGCCGATCTCTACTGTGGCCGAAAGAGCCCCTGACCCCTGCGCGTAGGTTAGGAAACGCGACGCCTGGTATTGGTTAAGGGAGACGCAGAGAAGTCGCCGCGGGAATCGGGCAGCCTTCGCTCGCCGCCATAGGACCGGTCTCTGAACATGCTCGTAGTAGTCGGCCATGTCGTACAACAAGGCTCCCGAGTGCATGACTTTCCCGCCTGAGCTGGCGGACTCCGGCTCCAGGGCCTGTTGAAATACTATTTCCGAGATGCTTCTGCCCTTCTGGTGGCATAGGAACGCACGGGGGTGAGCCGCCTCCCACTCCTTCGCCAGCGGCTGACGGCACTTAACCCATAAACGGTACAGTGCCGGGAGGAGGGCGATTCCCCGAAAGGCTGGGACCCCCGGCTGCTTGGAAGCTGCCTTTTGCATGAGCGTCGTGATGACGGCCAAGATCACCGTCGGGAACCTTCCCAGGGCCTCTACGGCATACAACAGGATGATGACCACCTGTAGCTGATC